CGGCAGACATGCAAAATGGTGTGTTTGTTGACATCTCTCAAGAATCGATAGCGAGAGGTGGAGTCACGCATCGATCGATGAGAGACGGGGGCGAGCAGGGAGCGGTGAGCGGGCGAACGGCGCGCAGCGAGAGAACGCGCGACATATGACACCGTGCCGAAAAAGTTTTTCTGGTGGTAGGAGAATAATACACCATTTTGCATGTCTGCCGAGTCCGGCCTTCCGCTCCTCCGTGCACTTATTGGCTCAGACGTTTTTCTTAATTATGCGATAATAATTACGGATTTTGTAAAATGGTATATAACTTTTCTTCTCAGTTTAACCCAATCTACTATAATCTTTGGAGTCGTCCATATCGAATTCGACACCCTGTATATCCATAAATTAGTTATACAGGGTGTCTGATGCAAAAGTAGCCACCTTGAAAATAGTGGTAGATTGGGTTAAACAAAGGAGAAATATTATGTACCGCGGTACAAAGTAACAATAGTTATCGAGTAATAAATTTACACGTTTGAGCGAATGAGGATGCAGGAGACGGTAGGCCGGACTCGGAAGGCATTTAAGAAAATCGATCGATGAGCGGGAGGTGGAGCGACGCGCGAGATACTATGTTTATGTTTCGGGTCGCCCGTCGCTCGCGCTCGCTGCCGCGCTCGCCGCCCGCGCCGCGCCTAGGTTTTTTCCCACCACGGTGTATACCACTATTTTCAAGGTGGCTACTTTTGCATCAGACACCCTGTATAAAGGGAATCTTAAATGGATGTCCACTGGACGTCCGTTTATGCACATCCAATGTATATCTTTGTATAGATGTACAATGAACGATCTTATTATGTCCATGGACGTATGGTAGTAAAATGAACGTAAAACGGACGTCCATAAGATGTACGGTGCTATTTGGGGTTGTGTTGCTACATATATAAAGTAGAAAACAGAAAAAGTATAATAAAATATAAATGAACATAGTACAAAAAATGTAATAAAAATTCAATATGAATAGATAAAATATAAAAAGATACGACTGCGACTGAGAAATTACTCCTTCTTTTTATGGTATCGTACTCTCTTACATTTAAAAGATTCGTAATCAGCGACCCTAAAAACCCCCGAGTACCAACCCAGGCAACCAGCTGACGTCGTAATGACGTAAATTAACGTGATTTTTGTCACTAATTGGTGACTATGACCTAAACTGACGTTATTTTAAACGTCATAACAATGACGTCAGTATATACGCCATAAGTATACGTCATATATGATGTAACTATTGGTCTTTGGAGTGACGTCAGTTGGAAGAAGTAAGTAAGACGTCATAATGGCGTTATTTAAATAACACCTGATTCCCTCCTGAATAGATAGCACTAGTACCACATACTGCCGCGACGTGGCGACCGGCGCGTCTTTCTCGTAAGTAAAAATCGTCCCGTATTAGTATAAAAGGCGAGCCGATATGATGCGAGAGCGAGTTGTCTGGATCATGGATAGACCTCAATAACCTGAATATACTTTTGATGACTATGTGATTTAACACAATTTAACAATTATATCCCAAAAAATCTGCTGTGTCAGCAAATTATTTTTCTCCGTGTATATTACGTCTTTATTACGTATTACAACATGATTTATGACGTAAATAAAACGTCTAGTTAATCACGTTACGGCAGGTTAATGACGTAAGTAAACGTCATTAATCTGACGTCATTTTGACGAGACATACTCACGTCGTCATTACGTTAATATCACGTCATAAACTGACGTCGAACAGGTCAGCAACTGACCTTATATTAACGTCATTACGACGTCAGCTGGTTGCCTGGGAAGTTTCAAGCGAATCGGACCAATTTTATAAACATCGCCATATTGGATCCACCATTTTGAATTTGATAAATCTAGTCAAGTATTATGTAACGTAACTTTCTAAATCTGAATTCACGGTGAGAATTTAAAAACTAGCTCACGTTTTTTTATTATGGCATAAATGTACCAAAAAAGTATGTTTTTTAAGGTTAGGAAGAAAAAACGAGCCAACTTTAGAATTCCCAGATAGCACAAAGAATCCAAAATGAATTCTTTTTGAATTCCCAAATTATGAAATGAATTCTTTATCTGTCCCATTTCTATTCTAAATGTATTCTTAAGAGTTCCAAAAGAACTCACTTTTATGTCACCAATTTGGAGCCCTTTTTCGCATACCAAAAGGACTCTTATTATACTCCATAAGAATTTGCAATGAATCACAAATAATTTTTAGATTGTATTCTAATGGAGCACTATAAGGATTCATTTTTCGCAGTCCAGGTCCAGGCTAGGGATAACGCTCTCGGAAACAACGAACCACGGTCTTACATAGGCTGCGTTCAGAAACATCACCTGAGTGCTACATGCATCATTTATCCTTGTTTAATATTCGGTGAACAACAAGGATAAAATAAGATACATGGGAACACTCGGGTGATGTTTCCGAATATAACCATACAGGTCTTGAAATGACAATGGTGTGGGTAGGTCGATCATGGGCTTGATCATAAATCTTTTCTTCTAGCGTGAACTCGTAAAAAGTGAAAATTTTCACACAAACTCAACGATTTCATTGGTTGAAATTGCTGAGTTCACATGAAACTTTTCACGTGAAAAATTCCATGATCGATATCCAGATGATGTTTTTACTTCGATTTTCAGCCGCCAGATGTGCGATGATAGAGGAGACAATTGTGTATTGAGTACACCAAAAAGGAATTCTTTTCGAACCCATTATGAACAGGAAAAGGACTTCCTTCAGAACATTTAATTTGATCCTATAAGAAGTCGAAAAGTATACTTCTATGGAGTCCTTTTTGAACTACCGGAAAGAACTACATTTGAGTTCATTTGGAATAGAATAAAGTAATTCATAAAGAATTTAAAAAAGTGAATTCTTTTTTAGTTCATATGGATCACCTGTGCTATCTGGGTTCTGACCTCGGATTCGGATTCAGCGACCCAAAATACGTAGGAATTGACTAGTCTGGTCTGCCGGACAAAAAAAATTTTTTTTTGTGGGGCTGTGCAATTAATTGGATATATCCGTTTGTCATTATGTAATTGGATTATTCGCTTCTATAATATTTAATCGGATATTTTTCTCAGTGCGAAGATTACATAATTATGTAAGCTATCAAACGGCAAGTTCTTGCTACAGCTTTATTTATCTTACTCTGTATTATGCAATAATATTTGTTATTATTAAATATAACATAATTAAAGTTAAAAATATAAAATTGAAGCGAAGTAAATTATATAATAAAATAAAATTATATTTTAATAGCTAACCACGTTTTTAACATTAAATTGTACTACGGAGCTCTTCGTAAAAGTTTTGTCTTCTACGTCTCTCTTCGTTGTTTATATCATAAATTATATCACGTTCCGATGTAACATCGAAAATGTAAGTCGTAATCGCTTACGAAGTATCCTCCATATGGTAACTCACCCGTCTGGCAAACTTTTAAATCAAAACCTTTACTTTGATGTATATAAAAATTGCTTAAATAACAGGTGAAGGATTTACTGATGCACCTTCAGCATATACATAATAAATTAAAGGATAAAAATGAAATCGCTATCATAAAAAAATATGACTACATAGCAAAATGTTATACAGTTATACTTCTAAGTAAGATAACTCTTATGAAATTTGAATATAATCACATTGTTAATATAACATATAAGCTATCGAGTAGTAAAAATCGATTTAAGTATCCGGATTCTATACGATTTTGTTACATGCATAAGTCTATTGAAGTACGAGGCATGTTCAGTAAGTAAGAGTACCTACTCTTACTTTTTGGACATGCCCCGTATTTGTGTACATATACCATATACATTTGCGATAAACAGCAAATGTGTTTTACAGCACATTGAAAAGGGAAGTAGCTCTTATTGTTAGTCTCGCAGTAGAATTAATTAAATTTTGCCCGAATTAAAAAAACTGTCTCATACTGTACGAGTAGTGAAAAAATAATATAAAATAATGTAAATAAAATTGTTTACCTAACGTTTTTTAGCATTGGGATTGAGTGGAATATTTGTTGGTGTGATAATTCAATATTGGACAATTATAGTTGTTATTGCTTTACCAGCAAACGAATCTCGGTCATATTATCTTATCTTTATGATGGAGTACTTTATCGATCAGGAAAAATATTTATATTTGATTTTAATGCACCTGGGCGTAGCTGTTTCTGTTGGGATGATTATAATATTAGGATGTAATACAACACTACTTGCATGTATTCATCATAACTGTGGATTGTTTAGAATTGCTAGGTACAAATATAGAAATTATCTTAACAATGAGAAATGCAACTTGAAACATATTTTTCTAAATAACGCACTGAAAGTGTGCGCCGATAGTTTTATTTAAAAAATTACATAATTTAATGAATTACTCTATAATAACACTATTTACAGTTATCGTCTCGAGCATGCTATAAATATAAATATTCGGCAAAAGATAACGTTCGAGAATATGATTTTGATGACCGAAGGTGTAATTTATGCCGTCGACATTCACCGGCAAGCTATAAAGTTTGTATCTGCGATGATAATTTTTATGCAATACCTATACACAATAGTATCTTTTTTTTCGAAGACTGAACAAACACTTAATGTCAATATTCGAGATAATGCTGATGTGTTTCTTATTGTGTTTTGTGGCTTGTTTAAGCCTCAATTTATTTCAAGTAAGTCATATCGTTATATTATATAATTATATGTATAATAAAAATTGTTCCGAAATTCTTAGAAATATCGTTCACTAAGGATGGTAAGAACACAGCAGGGGGGGTATACTAATATTATAAATTTATCAAAAAATTATTATAAATGATAGACGGCAGAACATTTTAGATATTAAACGTTATGAAAAGAAAAATAACGAGTAGAATACAAGTTATCCATTGTAAGAAACTAAGAAATGTTGTATAATGTCTATGTAAATTTGCCAAATTTTTATCGACAATTTTAACAAGCAATATTGGATATAAACATAATCTTAAAACATTATTTACAACTTCGCGTTAAAATCAGACATTCTCATTGGTTATGGCGTGCAATCAATGCTCAATAGCAATATCTTTTACGTGTATGAATCACTTGTAATCTTATAGCTGTCAAAATGAAGAAGACCTTCTTCTGTATGTTGGTAGGAATGTATGTACACATATGGAGATAAGTGATTTTCATAAAATATATTTCTTCGCTTTTTTCAGGTAATAATGTCTGAAAATATCATAAACGTCATAATACCAATTGGATGTGTATTAGTGTGTATCACGTTTATGTTTTTCTGCAATTTTCTGGGGCAAATTGTAACTGACCACAATAATTGCGTATTCACTACTGCGTAAGAAATATTCTCTTGATAGACAGTGTACCAGGTTTGCCGGTTAATAATTCTTAATTTTTTTCATTGAAAAGCCACGTTTTTATTCAAATTTTTCTCATCTTCTCGCCAATTTGTGGATGTCTTGCCAGAAAAAGCATTCCTCTTTTTGGATCTTTCCCATGGCATGCAGACGATCAAAAATGGTTTGTCGACCAACATTTAATTTTTTTGCCAATTGTTGTTGAGGTTGTGCAGTGTCTTCATCCAACAATGCTTGCAATTCAGCATCTTCAAATTTTCTCGGTTGACCAGGGCGCTTTTTGCCTTTCAAGTCGAAATCACCACTTTTGAATCATCTAAACCAACTCACACAAGCGTCTTGCGTTGGGACATTGTCACCGTAAGTTTCTACAAGTATACGATGGCTTTCACTCGCGTTTTTCTTTTGATTGAACAAGAAAAGCAGTACGTGCCGCCAGTGCTATTTATTTGGCTCAAAACTCGACAAGTTTACCACACGAAAAAAATATGATGCTAACTCGTAAACGTTTAAACAACTGTGGCGTTTTGAAGGCTGCTGTCATAGCAATAAAATGGCATATCAGTTAATACTGTGAACCACCCCTTATTTCCAGTGCGATCTCTTGTAAAAAATTAAGAATTATTAACCAGTAGGCCTGGTATAGAGGTTCTTCCAATATTTATAAAATTAAATATTGAACATAAACGTTGAATTTGTTAGAAAAGTAATCTGTTTCAAGCAGTAAACTATAATAAGAAACTTCGTATTTTAAGTTAGAAGATTTATATTTAATTTCATAGATATAACGTCCAATGGTATAAAACTCCGTTACATATACAGAGAATGATATTGTTCCTGTTGCAAACAGGAATAAAGGAACTGTATTTAAATGTTGGTGGTGTATTTGATGCGTCTATTGAGGGTTTTGCTACGGTAACATTTTGAGTATTTTAGAATAGTACCCTACATATGGAAACAAATAAAATGTTTATAATTGCAGCTGATAAAGGCCTCGATATCTTACTTCACTGTCATATATTCTATACAATAAATACGATCGATTTTAGTAACACCGTAGTAAGGACATTTAAGCTTTTTATTTATGACAGTATTTTCGCTTCAAAGATGTAGACTTTGTTTTTGCAAATAAGATGTGTTGTTACAGAAAACTATTGAAGCTATTCAATAGTTATCAAAGACTTATTACTTTAGATTTTTGCGATACATCGAAATTGGACATTTATACTCGCTGTAATTCAAATATAAACAGTGTCTAAACATTTAAATATGTTTTAATGCTTTTAGATGGTCCTAATTTTCTTATGCACAGCTTATAACTATCCACAGAACAATGGAGATCTGTCCCAAGTAGCACATGAGGTTTTAAAACAGCTACGATAACATTTTCGCAGCTTAAACCGCAGCATTTTTGTCTAAGACAGCTTTTGTCACAACATCATTGATATGTTTTGGCAAAGTTATAGCAGCAAAAATGGGACAACATTTTTAGACTTTGAAAACGATGTCGCAACCATTTGGCTGTACAACTATTTTGCTGTAATAATGTTGTAATAACCACACACTACACCAGTCGGAATAAAGATAAACTAAAATTAGCGAAGAATATTTTTTATATGTTAATTAATATTCAATAAAATATGCAATAAAAATTAAATTTTAATTCTAAATTGACAAAAAGTAAAAAAAATAAAAAATTTTTAATGTTTTAATTCAACGAGGATTGAACCTGGACAACCTGGAACTTTCACCAAACTTAAATGTAGATCATATTTATAAAAAAAATCAATTATTACTAATTAACAATCTATAATATACATATAAGTATATTAGCGCGGACGCAAATTCATAAGTACACTGATTATATAGAACTACATACAAATCCTTATATGTATATTAATTTTAAAGCCGCATAAATGAACGCATGGGTCCGCTTGACCACCGCTGATACATGCTAAATATAACATAAAATTGATTGTCACGTTTACTTTGTTTTCGTTGTGATATACAAATTACAGCTAGATTCCAGCTATTTGGCTGTACTTTTTATTTTTCATCCAACATTGTAACTTTTTCAAGATTAGAGTCCACAACATTAGTTTTGTTCATACGATGTTCAACTTTTCTATAAAACGTACTACTCTTTCTAAATTTTTTTAACTTTTGCAAATCGCTCAATAGTGTTCTTTCCATCTTGGAGAATTAAAGACAACTATCCACAATTTCTACATAACCCTAAAATGGCTGATGCTAGGTTTGATTTTTTAAATAGTCGTCATAATACTTTTACCACCATAATACAGCTAAAATAGCTGTGGCTGAATTTTTATTTTGTTATTGCTATCACAGCGATTTTATGCCAATTAGAGCAGCTAAAATGGCTGCAGCTAGTTTTGGTTTTTCTGATAGCTATAACAGCGACTTTACAGCTATTAATACAGCTAGAATAGCTATGGCTATATTTTTACTTTTTTATTAGCTGTTACAACGCTTTTGCAATTCAAAATCCAGCAAAATAACTTATGTTGCCAAATAGCTATAATTAAGGCTGGCAAGACGTTATACTAGTAACATTTTTGCTGCCGCAGCAAATATAGCGAGACTGTATTACTTGGGGTAGGATCTACTCAGATCGTCGATATACGAAATATATTTCATTTTTCTGAAAATAAAATGAAAGTACCCAGACAGCACACAGTATTCGTAAAATATGCGTGAAACATTTTAAAGATTTATCTTAATCCTTAATAAATATTTCATAAATATATTTGTAGATTGAATAGATCATAAAGATTTGTATATTATAAACATATGTAAAAAAACGTTTCAAGTAATGAATGAAAATACATTAATTAAACTATCGCAATATTTCTAAAAATAAAAACTTTATTAAACTAAAATTATCACGAACAAATTCTGGAATTGAGATTATCGAAGAACGAGCCATTTCCTCAGCCGTGTGCGAATAACCGCAATCGCGGTCACCCCAAGTTTTAGGGTGAGTTTCGTTTCACGCATGATGCACATAATGTATCATTTATCCTTCTTTAACATTGGTAGAACAACAAGTATAAACGCATGATCCGAATAAGAGATCATTGCTGCTCACCTTCGACTTATGCACGGAAAAAAAGAATACTTTTCTTTGGAAAATATGTTTAGTTTCACCGAGAAAATCTTGAAACGAGATTATATTGTGTTAAAGGAAGAAAACCTTACTTGAACGAAGCAATTTTATATAATTTAATCGAGAAAAATATGTGCTTATTATTTAGGAATAATTTTCTCAAATCGAAAGAAAACAATATTGGATAGATAACATATTTTCAAATTGAAGATCATAATTAAAATGATTATGCAATAATATTTGTATAAAAGGTAATCAAACTATTATTAACCAAATATATGTAAAATTAAAGAAAAAAAATAAATTAGAGTAAAGTAAATTATAATAAGTTTATATAAAATTGTCTCTTAATCACTAACAATTTTTTAACAGTAAATTGTACAACGAAACTGCTCATAAAAGTTTCAGCTCCTGCATCTCTCTTTGTTTTTTATTTGCATATTAATAAATGTGAACATATAGTTTTATGTAAAATATTTGGTTGTTATATCATACAAACAATAAAATGTGAATTAATGTTTCTCAATATAAGAATATAAAATATATTGAGAAATATCTATAAAAAATATATATACATATTATAATACATAATAAAGTTTATGAAACTTATATCATATGATATTTTTTAATCATTTGGAAGGACTACAGTTATACCCGCGAAGTCCAGTATGCACTTTATTGCTTTGTCGGGCAAAAGACTGAAATAAAAATTATAATTTCAACACAGTAACAGCTAGGAATAATAAATATCGGGAAAATGTCCGAAGTAAAAATTGTATTATATGTAAACATAGAAATAGTAATCGTAGTACAAGATATTCCGATTATTCAATGTTAAATATGTATGAACAGAAAATTAATCTGGGATCTTCATCATCGTCTATTTAAGTATTATAAATTGTATGTTTTATAACTTAATTTTTATTGCCGTATTTTACATACCTCATTATTTTAACGAAAGGCAAAGACCATGATGGTAGACTTTCATTTTCATAATTTCTTCTTTGCGCATTAATTATTAACGTAGCTGCTTTCTGTGGTGACAATATAAGAAATCTGTTGAATAACCATGGATGCCTACATGAGCAAACAAAATCGAATCATTTGTCACTAAAAAATACCATAAATATCTCATTAATTACACAATTGTCAATGTATAAAAAAGAACTATTACAATAAAAGTAAATGAACTATTACAATGAAAAACGTAATACTATTACAATTAAAAGTTGATTTTGTGGAATATGGCAATATGTAAAATGAGTGAATTGCGCGCGATATTGCAAAACACATCCCAGATAGCACACATAGTTCTATGAATATTCTTCTGGAGTGCAAGTATTTTTACTTTCAGAATATTTCAATCAAATATTCTATAAATATATATAGATTATTACAATTATAGAAATCGTATGTTCATAACAAAGAAGAACGTTTTTAGAATACAGGGTGTTAATTAAAGAACGCCCACTAAGTACATAGCGTTATTCCTTATAAAAATCTCAGTCGGAAAGTCCCGAACCATTTTTTTTCTATCATGCTTAATAATGAAAGAGTTAAGTTAATCCACTGAGCGCCGACCTTTAGCCGGGCGCACATTAGGGACACTACGATTGTGTATGTTATAAACTTACCTAAAATTGTGTTGTTTAAGAAATCCAGTAAGTACTAAGGACGGGTAAATGGTAGTGAATTTGATAGAAGATTTTCTATCACACAGTATACGTAATTCTTCAAACATAGTTGCCGTAATTGCTGCGACATGTATATCAATATGTTAGGCAAATGTATTTTATAATTACATTTTTATGCTATCAGCGCGTTATTACAAATATTATGTGATATACACACTCGCGCACGCATACACGCACGCATGTACACACGCATAATTTATATGTGTTTATATAGCATTGCATTTTAGATATACATATATTAAAATCACTTTAGGATGAATTACCTTGGACTGCGCATTTTGAAGGACAGTAAACCGTTCCATGGGCAAGGCTGACCAACGCTGCTAGTGATGAAAGTGCTACAATATGACCGTGATTCTTTTCGATCATACTTGGTAAGAATGCTTTCAACATCTGAAAGTAATATTTTTTCATATATTTGTAAACAGCAGATTGCACAAATTTAATTATATATATGTATATATACTTTTCCAATTTGTATTGCTACCCATACAGCACACAAATGTTGAATCAACATCTCAGAAACGCTCCATTACAACATTGCAATATTGCATCAATGTTACGAAATGTAGACTCAACGTTGCATCAATGTTACGAAATGTAGACTCAACGTTGCATCAATGTTACGAAATGTATTATAGATTCATCGTTGAAAAGATATTGCAAAAACGTCTAATGTCTGCTGAATTGTAATGTCTTGTCAACGTTACAATTCAACATTCAGAAAATATTGTTAAATAATATTAAGTTAACATTGGTCGCGTTTAGCAGAATATTTTTTACATCTGTTGGAAGTTCTGAAATTGAATTGTTTCACTAAAATAACAATCCAATCTTAGCTCAGAAAATTTCTGACCCTTGCAAAAATATTATATATACAGTATATATGTATACACATTTTATAATTATACATTTTTTAAG